TTTTTAATTAGCGCACATTGTGAGAAATAAAGTGTTTAAATTCAGCGTTTGAAATGGCGCGATGTAACCAATTAAATCTTATTAACACTCGGATTTGAAAATTTGCGAATAAAATATTTTATTTAAGAAATTTTATTTTTTCCTTATTTCTTTATTAATGTATCTAATACTGAAATGACGTCATCGAGGAATCTTCATAAGAAGTAGTGGTGGCAAGGCTGTATAAGTTTGGTAGTACGGACAACTTTCCTAAGGGGTGACTGCCCGATTGTATAGTCAATCTGTCTTTCTTTCAAATAATTCAGTGTTGTGTTATTTATTAATTCGAAAGTAGAGTAGTTTGGTTTTTGTGATTTAATGTAATTTAGAAGTGTAACCGGTTAATACTTACTGTCCTTCTTTTAATGTATTGAACTCGTGGTCTATAAAACTATAGCAATAAAAGATTGTGCATTCAGCCTGAATAAATTAGTATACGGTAAGAACACTTATTGACTATTAGCCGTGTCGGTGACTTCGTCCGCGTAGAATAGCTATTACTGACGACGTCGGTCCCGTCCCACCGTTCTTGCAAGTAATTGTTAAAAGATAGGGATATAGTGTCGCGGAGATTTTTAAGATTCTTTAAAGAAGAATAATTATTTCCTAAATATTTTTTGGCTATCTCGAACCGTTTTCGCAGCCCACGAATTTAAAACGGAAATGAGTCACATCGCTGTGTTATAATAACTTTCCTCGATAAATGCTCTAACCAATACAAAAGCATTTTTAATTCAAACCAGTAGTTCCTGAGATTAGCGCATTCAAACATACAAACAAACAAACTTTTCAGCTTTATATATTAGTATAGATAGATAGATAACGCCAACTTTGCTTATTGTGGTATATGGCGGACTTACAAAAATTGCTCTTATTTTCATTCTACTCTTACATACATATGGGGTCAGAATTCATATCTCTTATTAGCCATTGTTCTTATACAACGTTCTAATAAAACCGAATATAAAGTTTTGAAGAAAAGATAATTACGTTCTTATAAACGCACAGAGTATAATAGGGCCGACGCCTAATAAAGTGAAATTTAACTTAATGCCCGCGATCCCGTCGGCTTAAATATTTCATATTGAATCTGAAACAACAGAGCGGATTCATTTATATCAATTTACAGGGAATCCTGCCTCCGATATTAATTATTAGCACCTTTCGGGCTTCCAGACACGCCCAACTAATAAGCGTTACGCGTCGTCAGGTGCTTATTAGCCTCGACTGCAAAATATAACATTCGCTTTAAGTGGTAATTATTTGGTATTACAATAAGTTAGAGTAACGTCCTCATTTATACGGTACGTTCGGTTTCTCCTAAAAGTTAACAGGGACAAAACAAAAGTAATTACAATTTAATACAAAGTATCGTTTTCTTCGTCTTGTCTATAATGGATATCATCAATCATCCTTGGAGGCAGTTAGACGATATGTTTGAGTTTTCATAAAGAGTGTTTGTTCGAAATAAAATGCTAATGTTTCGGGGGTAGTAATGCTTTTCTTGGGTAGTTGAGTTTTTTGCTCGATCCGCCGCCGGAGTGACGCCAGCGCGCGCTGTCAAACGCGGCTCGGCGCCACTCGCGCGAGTCGGTCGCGCGCAGAGGTTGTTAATTGTTTATAAGTAACATGTAACGACCCACGAGAAGGTGCACTAATATTTCCCGCGAGTTTAGTACATATTGAAGAGTGATTACGTGTTCTAGAATCAGCGTACTACGCGGTGACGAAAGTATATATCCCCGCCTTCCCTATATTAAATAGTATCTTTTGTAGCTGTCTTTAACCCTTATTTCTTTACAGACTTGTGCGCCACTGTAAAAGGGTACACAATCAGAAGACAGAATGAGCAGACAGCCATTGGAGCAAGGGTAAGTACTTAGAGAATAGCCATACATTTTACTATCTGTGTCAGCGACTTTGACTTACTTTAGGCACCCAAATAGTTATTTCCTCCTTCTTTATTCATTTATCTTTATAAATTTAAACTGTTATTCACGACGTCGGTCGCATTCCGTCGCTCTTACTTAGTCTTAAAAGACTTTTCAATTAGAACCAGTAGTTCCTGAGATTAGTGCGTTCAAACAAATAAGCTGTGTCTATAGTTTACGCGAGTAGTACACATTTAAATAAAACACTTTAACGGTTGAAAACGTGATATATTAGTTAAACTTATTTAAAAATGATGTTTAACTTCGGCCCGATGTTTCGGCTGCTGACGTTTAAAATCGTTAAAGTGTTTTATTTGAATAAACTTTTCAGCTTTATATTAGTTAGTATAGTTTTAAAATGCGTGTCGACGATTTTGGCGCCGTAAATATATTTTAAGTACAGCGCAGTTCACTTATCTTTACCAATAATACATTTTAACATACTATTCTATTCTTTATCTTTGTTTAAACTTCATCATGCGATTATACTCTAAAGGTAGCGTCACTTCTTGTCTTTTGTTTGCTTAACATTTTCGTAGGCTAGGTACTCTAAATAGCGAGGCTCAAAGCTAAAGCAGTAGAGCGCTCACAACAAGCACACGCTCGGAAAAGCAAACAATCAGAACGGGTTTCCTTTGAAGTGGAGCGAGAAATATCAGGAAAAACACTGAAGCAATACAATCTGTGTCGCTCGTTTAGACGTTATGCCACCAAACAGCGCGTGTTGTTGTCGACGCAAAGAACGGACTCAATGTGTGTCAGATTTGTATTGTCAAACGACATCGGGTCGTCGTCAAAATTCACAATTTCGGAATAATATAAGGAATAAGTTGGAGGGCGCAATAAAGGGGCCTGTCTTTATCAAATAACGTTCGAAAATACAAGACCAAAATAAGCTCTTTCTTCGAATCCGCTTATTCCATCTTATAAAATGTTCTGATGAAAATGACTTTTTTCATTTGAGCCGCGTAGATTTTTCCTTTTGTTGCTTATTTCAATTCTCCGAAGAAGCTTTAAAACTAAAACATTCATAAGCAGAGTTTCTCTTAGTTCTGTTCGCTGCTAACTTTCGCTCGACGTCGCTTTCATATCACATTAATGAAAAATCAACGGTTTTCCCATTTGCATTTCCCCGAGGAGGAATTTTACCTACCGATGCAATTTTCATTAAAATTGCGTCATCATTCGGTTTTCAACTTTATAATAATCCAGTAAAAAGATATGAACATATTTTTATTTTATCTACCTCCTATCGGGCTGTCACCGAGGAGAGTATTGTTGACTAAAGATATATTAGCTTTTCGTTGTAAAAAATGTGAATTCATAACTAAAACTCTATCTAGAACCTCTTTTAAATGATATATTTCATTAAAATCTATAATATATAATTATCGTCGGACGAAATATTAAGTCAGTTATTACCCGTCGACTCGAGTGAAATAAAATCTTGTTATGAGAGTTATTGAAATGTTGGACGTGGCAAGAAAAGTATATTACACCATGAATAGAGCGATTCGAAGCGTAATCGATGGTGGAACTCGCAGAATAACTCCGACAGTTTCGATTCGACAAACTTTGGGAATATTTTAGCGAGCTGTTTGAATATTAACTCTCATTTGGGAGACAGGCGTATTTGTTTCTCCGTAACAATTGCATTCATCAAGCCAATAGTTAAATACATTATTGAACATATTTTACTCATATGTAAGTATGTTGTATTCTGTAAATTCATTTGCCATAACATACTATACCCCTTTAAGGCTTGTAAATTATGTTAAACTTTTATTATTCACAAAATAGCTATAATCTTAAAATAATTTTCCATTTAATTAAATGGCTTGAATTATAATTTAAGCAGAGCGAGGTGACTAAAACACCGCCAGAATCAAAAATTGCCTTCGTAATTTCTGCGAATTCGCGAATAATATAATTTATCCGAAGGAAGCGTCTCCGACTCGTTATAGAAAGGTGAAGATGTAAGGATAATTGGACCTTTATTATTATTAGGGGACAGGGCAGCCGAAAGACAATTTAAAGGTTCTTAATATATAAACTTAGTTCACAATATTTAAATTCAAGCGCGCCTCGTGCACTCGACTAACTATAAATTCGCAAACGCAGTCGCGAGAGCCTTCGTCGGTGGAATCGTTAGTCGGGCTGCTATTAAGCGAACGTCAGGTGGAGTAATTTATGTAAGGTAAGTGGCCGGTCCGACTATAATTCAAAGAGCATTAGGGCGTTTAGCCGGCGGCGGCTCAGCACTAAATTAGCTGTGCATTAGCGGCTTACTGCGGCTAAGCCCACCGAACTACCTGTCACCGGTTGATCGTATCGCGGCCGGGGGATCTCTCGCGAGCTCCCGAACGACGGGGAAATGAGTCGCCTTTAAAGTTAACAAACGCAAAGCAAAATCGAGCGAGGACAGTTTAGGCGAACGGCGCTTTTGATAGGTCGTTTGTCGCGAATGATAAACACCCGTGCAACTGTCCGTTTCGACCGTTTATATCGAGATTAATCAAACGTTATCGACACTTTGAGGTGCGTTTATTTTTATACGCGACACGATTTTTTGGAGGGTTGGTACCCTCAACCCCTCAAACCCTCTTCTTTGTGTAATAAAAAAATAAACTAAATTATGACAAATGATACACAAAATGTTAAAAACTTTTCAAAAAAGAATCTTAAATAACAGTTGCAATATTTAAGTATTCGTCGCTTATTAAACCGTATTTGTTTGGCACGAAGCATTCGCTTGGCCGTTTTGTATTTTCTTCTCTCCAAGTGTAAAACTAGAACGACGTCTATTCATATTCTGTCTTGCATTATCGGTATTCTTAAGATGTGGAACAATGTTCAATTCGTTCCATAGAAATCTTCTCGTTACACGCTCAAGTTATCAGGTATCTGCATACGTTGTTTATAAACGTAAAATTAAAAATACATTTTTGTAGTTAAAAAAATAATATGTTAATTATCACATATTTTAAGTGGAAAAGTTTTGCATAGATCGCTCTAATGAACTTAGCCACAATGACGCCGTCGATGCGCGGTCAGAGGCAGGGACAGGAAGCGGAAGCGAAGTCTCGTAAAAACATCAGGTGTCGGGTGTCAGGGCTCGTGCGCCAGATCTGTTATCGGTATTATTTATGGCCGGATCGGTTTCGGCCATGTTTCATAGCGATCTTGCCAAATTACGTCTACTCTGTTGTACGTTTCTGATTCGTTTCGTTTTTTTCCCACGAAATATATTCCACATTTAGAAATGAAATATGGCCCGGACACGTGTCGGCTCTACGCGCGTTTCCATTTTTTTGCGAAAATTTGACACGAACGAGGCCTATGAATTGTAAATCGTCTCATTTGTTTAGATACAGTAACGAGTTTGGCTAAAATTGCTTATTTCATAACTGAAGAGGCGAAATATCCGACGCCTAAGCGTACCTAACCTATATGCTTACGGCGTATTATTTATAATATATACATATCTCATAATATGACAGACGTTCAGATAAAAATATATTAATATCGATTATCGTTACCGCTGTGATTTTTTCATATAATCTATTTTCTGATAGATTAAATCTTTAAATAAAAGAAAATGTCTGCACCCGTTACCTAACGACTAACGTCACCCGTTTTGTTCCGAATGATACGTCGTCATATCTCTCGTGGCGATAACTTTTATTGGCGCAATACTGAACTTGCACTCAAATCGCTGTAAAATTCACTGCCTTGCGTTTATTTACTGCTGACAATTCTCAATATCGTCGAAGTAGACTTATAGCGAAATATTCCATTTTTCACATAAAGAGTGATGCTTTATGAGAACAGAAAGTGTTTTAGAGACATGCAAAGAGTAATAAAATTCACTCAATCAACAGCAGACCAAGTTATTCTCGCACCCTTTTTATAAAGTAATTCCGAACTTTAGTATCATATTTGCGAGACATCGTTCATAATTGCTAGTTAAAAAGTATGATCGCCAGCGGGGATACAAGGAAACAGTTGGTAACATAATTAAAATGTAATTTGTGGGTAAAAGAAGCGGGCAGTAAGTTTCTCATCAGCGGAACGACGGAACGGCGGAATGGTGGAATGGCGGAATGGCGCTGAAGTTTTTAAAAGCGAGTAAACAGCTTAGAAATGGACCCGCCTCGCCACTCCTCGTAATTAAGTTGGATTCCGATTCGCCGCTTCGCTTTCTCGACCCGAGAGTTTTCGTTAAGCGTTGCTTCTTAGCTCGTCATCGTGCGTATAAATACGGTTGGCCATAGTTACTGTCAGTAAAATAGTCAATAATATGCCAACGACCGACGTCGCGCCGTAAGTTAAAATAATTTTCAAATAATTATAACTAATATATACTGAGATAAAATAGATCGCCGCTTATTGATATTGATAATTGGCGGTAGACGTAAGCGAAAATATTTTCCTCGTTACCTGAGCGGGGCCCCGGTGCCGATTGTTCCCCGACGGATTAATAAATCACGGGAATAAATTGCTTCCCGCGGCGTAAGCTAGCTCAAATAAATACCGCCGATGTCATAATGCTGACTAATTATTATTTGGATCTTCTGCCCCCGCTCCCCTTCCGCCGCCCACGGTCTTTTGAAATAACAATATCGCATTTTTTATTAATAATACATAGTTAATAAATAGCACTTTTGATAAAGATTTAGCTGTTGTAAAAGTGCTATAGCGCTAGGTTCAACGCGAGCACAAAGGAAGGTCTGTTTAAAAGTTAACGAATAACGTTTAGCTGCAGATTTAATAGTTTTTACTTGAAGCGGAGCACAAACGGACACCTGTTGATGTTTCCGCCTCTGCGATTTCATTTTTTCAACAAACGACCAGAACAAGCTGGAAAAAACGATATATTGGATGCTTAATGTAATTTCTAAGCAAGTTTAACTCGTACTTTTCGCGTTTTAAACCGTTAAAAGTGCTACAGATCTTACGATACATTACAAGTGTTTCTATCAATTACAAAAATAATAATAAAGCTTTAGAACACCTAAAAGGAGTTATTATAGCGTTCGCTATAATTGTATTCAGGTAGAGGAAAAAGCTAAAATCGTCCGTCAGAATGAAATTGCCCTCGAACCAATTTGCTCGCGAAAGTGGCGATTTCTATCCGCAAATAAGTAAACAGAGTTCGGAGTTCAGCGGAGCCCATCGCTGCCAATACGTCACTCCGCTGTGGCCTTGTCAAAAATTCAATTATTCCACTCACTATTTATAGGGCTTTCCATCCCGACTGATTCTCGTACGCCCGGCTGGCCACGGGCGGCGTTCAGAAATGCTTTTGCAAGTTACTGCAAACCACCGATTGGAGCCTCATATTTACGATTTGGGTTCAATCAACTCTACAATAAGTCAAAGTCAAAGCCAAAAACGTAGGTAACTAGGTAGACTTATGAACGTCACATCAGTTAAAAACTCAAGACTCTAAATTTACATTTACTACCAGTTCTCAAATCAAGAGCGTAGAATGAACGAGAACAGAATCCAGCGGGGAAAGACTACGACTCTGTCGAATAGCCTGACTTTTATATAATTATTACTAGCTGCGTCAGCGCATAGAATTCGCGTAGAATAGTTTGGACATCAAAATTTATTTCTTAATTTTAACCGTTATCCACAACGTCCGCGTCCCGTTATTTTTATAGGTTATTCTTAAAAAATAGATAGATACTGTTGCGGACATATTTTACATCATTTAAAGAGGAGTTTTTCGTACTTGTTTTTTGGGTATCTCGAACCGTTTTTGCGTCGTACGCAACGGAAACCCACAAACATTTTTTTGGGTCTCTTTTCCCGTTTTTCGCTGTTTGCTCGATTCTATTAGTCACAGCGCAATGTTAGTCTATAGCTTTCCTCAATTAATGCCTAACCTATCTAACAATCACAAAAATAATTTTTCAAATCCAACCAGTAGTTCCTGAGGTTGGCGCGTTTAAACAACCAAACATAAAAACTCTTCGGCATTATATATCAGTATAGATTAATATGTACGCATAGCTTATGTAATTGCGCGACGTGAATGAGAGCAAAGTCATACGAAAAGCCCATCCGGGCGAAACAACTGAATGCATCAATTATAATAATAACATTCCCGATTCCGGAGAGAGTGCAACAAGTGGAGCGGGTTATGTTCTACTTTTGAACTAACGCGCCACTTTGCTTCATTTTTAAACCCCGAGGGACGTCGCAGGCTTCATTGAGTACGGAGAATGATGCCTCGATGTTTGTGGCCTACTTAGTCTTTTTAACTTATTCTTTATTATCCGCCAGCGCGCGCTGTCAAACGCGTCTCGGCGCCACTCGCTCGAGTCGGTCGCGCGCAGAGGTTGTTAATTGTTTATAAGTAAGATGATTATTGCTTTGTAATACTATCCGCGAGTTTAGTGCATCTTGAAGAGTGATTACGTGTTCTAGAATCAGCGTACGCGGTTACGAAAGTATATATCCCCGCCTTCTCTATATTAAATACTGTCTTTTGTGGGTGTAATCAATCCTTATTTCTTTACAGACTCGCGTGCCGCCGTATTCGGGAGCAGAAGTGAGTACCTAGAGAATAGTACCTAGTTAGCCATATAGTTTGTTTAAAGTGCGTATCGACGTTGTTATTTCATATATGTGATACAAATTATAAATCGGTTTAATAGTGTCTCTTATATGTGCTTTAACCATTGCCATAAGCCAAAGCGAGCCTAGAGTTACAGACAGATGCGTTTCTCTGAAAGCCAATCGCGACGAGGGCCGTCGATATCGGAAAATTTGAAACACTTAATTTCCCCATTTCGAACGGAGCCTTAAACCTTCAAAGGCCCGTATTGGGGTCGGTCGCTTTGTCACTTGCGGGACTTTTTGTTTAGCGTCGAGCGCGATTTTACGCTAATTTCGTTTCAATTTCACGAACAAAGCTTTTACAGCGTTCATTATTTCTTTGCGTGAGTTTGACGACAGTTCCCTCACGTAAAAAGGACAATTCGTTGGAAGGAAAAGGTGTACTATAGAGAGCGGAGCTACTATCTACATCTGTTGTGTTGCCACTCTCTAATCAACGAAAGTATTCAAATTGTTACTATACAGTTAACTACATAAAGCCCCTTTATAATATATAATATTATAATTTTAGATAGCTTTCGGTCTCAAGAGAGCAAGTAGCTTAGTAGTAAAAGGAGAGTAATCTTTTGCAAAGTCGAACTTGTATCCGAATTTTTTTCACGTTTGAAATGACTCTTTTTCCAGTAATTCGCGTAAAAGCCCCACTTTAGCCGGGAACAACCGATATGCGATCCGCAGCGGCGTAAAGTTGCCGTGGAGCGATGCAGAACCGAATCGATGCAATATTTTGTGCAGAAATGGAAAAATAAAGCATCCGTGCAATTTACTGATTGCAGTCGCGTCGGGCCACGTTCGCCGTTTCACGAACTATAAAATCACGCTCGGTCGCTTGTTTTCTGCTTTCGAGGGTCTCGTCGCGCTATGTCGCTGACGTTGGGTTTTCTTCCTCTCTCACACTGTCGACACGCAGTATTAGTCTAGCCTTTTTAAACGACGGTATGCCTAATGCACGCCCACGTCGGGAAATAGTGACGTAGGGAGGCCTGTGAACACGTGTGTTCGTAGTACCGTAACGTCGATCCCGCAATCCGACTTTCAGAATGTCAATGTTTCATATCCTTTGACCAACATAAACGGATGAGGTCATTGTCAATAATCTCATGTACAACATCAACAAACGAAAATTCGGTCTAACATGAGCAGGCTTAAGTGGACGTGGACGTGTTTGACAAACGCGCAGAAGTTACACGGCGGGTGCTAATCCCGACATAACACACTACTTAATCCGGGATTACGCGACGACCTCTGCCGATCGACCATTTGAATCGAACCAACTCTATCGTCAACAACGTCGGTATATCATTGGAAAAATATTTAAATCACAGTTAGTTTAAACTTGTTCCGTCGGTTATTTCAACTTTTTTTCCTAGATATAACTATATGTTCGCAGTAAATTGGAATGAATCTTACTTACTTACCTATTTCGTCTGAACCACCGCCTTTTCAAGTTATTCGAAGAACTTAAGATTTCACGGTTACGTTGCTTTTGCGCTTATCGCTAGGGTTGGTTCTATAAAAGTTTATTTAGCACATATTAATTGGAGGTACGTCATTACAGCTAATAACTAGTAAGAAAAGCCCAAGGCCGACGCAGGGGCTATCGGCGCGCGTGACTTACGACCTTATCGCGATGGGGCGACGCCCGCGCCGCGTGAGTTATGACGTCATTTCCCACATATTGCCCCACGCCCAAAGATTTATTGAAATCTCTGCCCTCAACACGCTTGTATGGAGATAAATTGATCGAATAGAGGATTTATAGAAATTTCTATCGAAAAATATTGGGCTTCGTTACCCGTCTGGCCTAGAAAGATTTAGTTTTGATTACCGCGTTACAAGTGTGCGTTACGTCGACCATTACCGGTGAAGTATTTCGAGATTGATAATGAAACCCTTTGTAGAACGACCCCCGGGAACGGCGCGAAAGGCCCGCTCGCCCCGCGAGGCAGGGACGCGGCGCTCCGCTGGAAAATCGCATTCACAAAGATAACTCGGTTAATATCCCATTCCAGCAAACAAGATTCTATTTACAGCGCAATCTACATAAATTAGACGCGACCGCGAAACGAAAATAAACTGATAACGGCGCTCGTAGCCTAGGATCCCGTCCTTCCGTCTCATTCGCTTTGCAATCACCGACATGTAAGTACACACGTCGCGGAAAGATCTTTTTACAAAACATCCCAGATTACGAATAACACCCTTACTGATACATGTGTAGTTCATCAAACAGTTCTAATATCTTCGTGAATTTCCTTTATGTTCCATAATGTCACTTTCAATAGATACATTTGGTAAAATTTGATTGTTTGAGCGGATGTAACAGAACGTAAGCAGATCTTAGACTAGGTTGAAGTTTGAATAGCTGTAACATAAAAGGCTTCGGAAGTATCAGTTTCATTATGGAAGTTAAAGGATCGCACATTAGGGGACGACGGCGCCTCGCGTTTCCTTTGTTCATTAAAACAACGCGAACCGTAACAATTTGCGGAGACCGCTCTCGGCAGCTTTTGCGTCATTATATGAGACCTCTTCAAAAATAATTACTATTTATTACGTTTACCAGAAACTCCATACGAAATTCTACTCGAGCCTAAGGAGCCGACATGTCATAGAAAGCCGTAGGCCTCGTTTTGGCAAACTCGACGATCCAGAATGTATAAAAGTATTCGGCAACTTAGTTCCTTTGACCGAAATTGTTTTATTCGAGCGAAGGCTTCGCCCAACATTCCTTTTGAGGCCCTCCGCGTAATGACAAGAAAATATTTACGCACGCCCGGAAGCCACTTATTATTTTGTTTCTAAAAATTATCCCATTTCTGCCCGAAAGAGAATCCCTGAAATAGACGTCGCGATTAAACGATATTACATTTTTTAGGTCGCGGGAAACGACCATTTTCTCGTTCGTTTTGGGCGTTTATTTTACAAGTTGGAACCAATATCCTTATAGACTGATAAATATATTACAATACTCAAAAAATGATAAAATTCATATTAATGATGCGAGAAAATGATATTAATGGGGGGGCTTTAGTGAAAAATAGTTTTAATGGACAGCAATATTGAATATTTTTAACAATCGCTTACATTAAATGAAATACACTCTGACATTATCTGTTTCAGCGACTTCGTCCGAGTAGAATGGTTATTTTGGGCATCCAAGTTTGTTTTTATAATTTTATCGGTTACCCACGACATCGGTGGCGTCCCGTTATCATTGCAAGTTAATCTTAAATGATAGACATTTTATTTTTCGTTGCGGTCATATTTTTAGATTGTTTAAAGAGAAATCATTCCTTCGTACATATTTTCTGAGTATATTGAGCCATATTCGCACCTGACGCATCGATAACCCACAGATATGATTAATTTTTTTTTATATTTTACACTTTTCTAGCTGTTTTTTATTTCTTCCTATTAGTCACAGCATTACCTTTTATAGGGTGAAAAAGCCTTCTCGATAAATGTTCTAGCACAAAAACAATAGATTTTTGTACTTTGTAGTTGTACTGTCTTTGTAGACCTGTGACTTTCCTTATTACCCAAGACATTATTAAATGAGAAAAATTACTCTCCAAGTAAAAATACTCCTCAACTGTAGATATATTTAGAGAATGTTGAGTAAGTCTTTCGCTGAAACATCAGAACGCCAACTTAGAAATGGCTTCATTCGCCGTTATATTATCTTCAAATAATAATTAAGGGAAGAACGAATTAATGAATTAACGGAATTAACGAGATCGTCGAACAATTCGTGCGACTGCCATCTCGTAGACTCCACAAAGGGAGAATTACAACAATTACGCTAACTTTGCCAATTTATACCGCTGATCTTATTAATTTTCCATTCAACAATACCGGCTCATAATAGGAAACAGATCGCGAATTTTCCTATCGAGTTTCTCACGGAGTTTTCGCGACCGGAAGACGGCTCGCGGCTGACTCGGCGAGGTCAGGGAATTTTCCGGTTATCTGATATGCGATAGTTTCGAACCCGGCCCGGAAAATGTGTTTTGAAAACTTGTCTCTCTGTTTGCGTCTTCAGAGAGTCTGTTCTATAAAGTTAATATATGCTATTGAAATATGTAGCTCTTACGGGAATTAATTCCAAATTTTCTTTCGACAGCTTTTAATCACTGAGGTGATGAAAGTGAATTTATTTTGTTCGTAAAGAATAATACTGTCAAGTCAAATCTAATATTTAAATAATTAAAACAAGACCTAGGATTGTGCCTTGGAATTCGAAATGAACAATTGAAATAAAAACATCTCGTTTCCCTTCCCAAACCGCATTTCGAAAGTATTATGACGCACACAGGGGAAATTAGTACCTTCTAAACTTTCAAATATTAAATAAATAATTCATTTGTTGAACATAATTTCAGTAAAATTCAATTACGCGATTATATTCCTCGCTTTATCGCTGAAGGTTAAGTTAATTGTAACTTTAACTTGGCTTAAACATTAAGGTTATCTTCAGATAAAAAGATCTTTTACTTAAAACTTTGTCGCTCTCTGCGGTGTGGGGCCACCGAACGTCGTCGTTAATAAAACATTTTAGATTCATAAAAACACAGACGATTTTACGAATTTAATTAAGCTGAGTCGGTAAACTACTATTAATTTATATTTTCGGTTTATATTTAGTATTATCTTATCTTGTTATTTCAATTTTATAATTGTTATTCTATCAAAGATCGATAATCAAACTTCGTTTAGTAGCTTAATGACAGCGTACGTAGTTCTTTATAAGCAACTAATCGTTAAGTTCGTGGCCCAACCGCTAATAAGAGGGCGGCGGTGTCAGAGATTCGAGTACAACGAGGGCAGTCATGCGCATCTGAACACTATTTACTTTGCTAGCAATTACTGCCTTCTGCTTCTTCGTATCTTCTGCTGTCGGCTGCACTTCAGCGAAATGTAAATATTCTAGTTTTGCCCCGTAGAGCGATTATTTGCCACAGAAACCGCTCATTGTTAAGATGCCACGAGTGAAACGGTGTTCAAACCGACAATATATTTTTCATTATTGTTTGATTTTAAAAGATATTCGGGCAATTAAAGACAACGTTTCGTCATTCGTTAATGGAAGGATGGATACAGTGTTAGGTCCCGCACATTTAACAAGTTCCTTTTGAATACTGTCTATAGTTTACGCGAGTAGTACACATTTAAATAAAACACTTTAACGGTTTAAAACGCGATATATTAGTTAAACTTATTATATATAGTCTCCCCGTGACCACGGCTGCTGCAAAGCATCCGAAACGTCATGCCGAAGTTAAAAATCATTTCCAAATAAGTTTAACTAATATATCGCGTTTTAAACCGTTAAAGTGTTTTATTTAAAAGTTCCTTTTGTCCATAGAAAAGATAAACTAATTGAATATAGAATCAAATTGTTGGTCAACAATCTTAGTGTGATTAACAAGATATCTTGGTTGCAACAAACATTGCAATCGAATTGCGGTTAAGCGGTTCTTCAAAGGATAAGTTGAACGAAGCTTCGTCCGATCCAAATACGGACGCAAGAGACATCGAGCAAAGTTACGTCTGCCACCGCAATACCACGAGTTCCAAACGAGCCACACGAACTCTACTTGTTCGTAGTAAATTATTTATTTACACGCTGCCTGACAGGCGCGGTTGCAGGAATTAACTTATCAACTATCTTTCACATCTCTAATACTTGTTATGTTTGACTGCATCTCTAATATTTTTCACATGATGTCACTATATAATCTAAAAATTGAAAAAAATTACGACTCGGTCATCCTCAGCGTTGGGTGCTGTTGCTCAAAGTAATTGACCTACCGAGTGCTAGGTACGTCGTCGTCGAATATTTCCAACTTTAGAAATCACATTACGAGA